CTCCTGCGGCGCACGGCGGGCCCCGCGCTCAGCCTGCGGCACCGTGGCCTGGGCCCGCGGGTGAGGGGCGGTGGCACCATCCCCCGGCGTGAGGGACACCTGCTGCGGGGCTCTGGGGTGTCAGGGGGCTGTCCCCTCCAACACCCTGCCGGCATGCCTGGCTGTGGGCCCTCCGCAGAAACCAGTGCAAACACCCCAACCTAGGGACTGTCAGTTTTGTCTCTCCCGCTAATGAAAACGTTGTTATAACTCCTCTGGGCATCGGAACAACCCAAGTTTTATGTCAAGAATGTGTCAAGGACCCTTTTCTCCCTGCCATGCCAGCGGCTCAGATACCGGTTAGGGGCTGGTGTTATGCCACATAAGGCGGGGATTTGTCAGCAGGTTGTTTTGCAGGGCCCAGGAGTGGGTGTCCTCCCTCAGATGCAGGAGGGGAGGAGGCAGGATGAAGTGTGCAGGTGTGTCATTACACCTCTTCCCCCTTGGGTTGAGAATTCTTCCTGAGAATGTATTGTCACCCCTGGGGTACTTCACATTTTTTTAATTAATATTTTTAGGAAGAAATTATAAACCGTCTGCACATTCATACAGTGGTTCGTGTCAGGTAGTCCCACCCATGAAAGCTGCTTTCTGTGGGTGTGACATTTTGGAAATGTGTTGTTTGGACGATGAAAAAGGTGCAGCCCTTCATACTAATTTTCGGTGATAAACCTTTTTGTTCTGTTATTTTATCTGGAAGAGTTCTCTGAGGTCCCTTCCAGTTCATTTTCCTGTGTCTGATATCCAAGGCCGGAGAAAATATTTTGATTTTGCAGTATCTGTGGAGTAATCACAAGGTCACTGCCATACGTCTGTTTAATTGTAAATATTTCTAAAGTTAAGAATTCCCACTGACAGATCAGGATACTGGCACAATATAGGCTTTTAAAATGTTGAGGTCAGGATTCAGAGCAGCCATAAGTAACTAAAGGGGTGCTTATTATGGCTGTACTCAGACTGGCAGGTAGAAGTGCTGTCCAAAGAGATACATCATCAGGCACAGTGGGCTGGGACCTTTTCCTTTCCCTCTGTGTGGTGAATACTGACAGCAGGATTTTCCATCGTTTTTGTGGAAGGCAAAATTAATTCTTTTATAATAAATGAAAAGAAATATCTTAAATTGTATTCAGTCTAAATTGTTTTTGAAGGGGAATCTTTTTGCACAATTCTGCTGATGGCTTTGGGAAATCCCCGTGCCCTGCCAGACAGAGGGAAGTTGAAACAGAAATATTCACAAGAGCTTTGTGAACCCAGTGAAACTGTAAATGACCCAGTTTAGGGGGTTTTGTTGCAGGGTGCCAAGGCTTTAGCTCTTTCCTTGATGGTCAATACCTCTATCCTCACGTTAGACCTGAGTGACAACTGGCTGCAGTGAGAGGGGGCAGCTGCGATTGCAGAGATGCCGAAAGAAAACTGCTACATTTCAGGTTTGTGTTCTCCCATCTGCCGTTCTCTGGTAGACAGTTGTTGTAGAGGAGGAAATTGTGTTGGCTTCTTTGTGGATGTAACCAGTCCTGCTGCCATAGTGACTCTGCGTGTGTGAAAATGGTACCAGAACTGGGATGCTGGTTGAACAGTGAGTGTTAAAACTGTGCTGCCTCATCATCTTTCTCCATCTGTTTTCTTAGCATTTACTTTTTTGAAGTTAGGATGCCACTAACTGGAGTCAGCCCAGTCCTGTTATTCCTGTGAAGCTGCTGGAAGCCAGCAAGAAAGAGTGTGACATCCCTCGGGTCAGTTGGGGTCAGCCATCCAGCTGTGTTCCCTCCCAACTTCCCGTGCCCCCCCAGCCTCCTCGCTGGTGTGAGGAGTAGAAGAGACCTTGACGCTGTGTAAGCACTGCTGAGCAGTAAGGAAAGCATCCCTGTGTTATCAACACTGTTTTCAGCACAAATGCAGAACACAGCCCCAAACTAGCTACTGTGAATAAAATTAACTCTGTCACAGCCAAAACCAGCAGAAATGGTTAAGCTTTGTAAGTTGAATTTGCATGATTGACATCTAAGAAAACAGGGCTTCTAAGCAGGGACAGGAGGAAGAGAAGCCCATCTTCCTCTGTTCCAGCAGCAACACACATCTGCTCTTCCCAGGGACATTTCACGTGTCTAGTGCCTCTGTAGTATTAGACTACAGATACTACACATACAGGGACCAGAAGCAGAGCAGCACTTTCTGAATTTCAGTCTCAGGCAGTGTTGTGTCTAGGGATCATGGCATTAGTCCCTGCTTTTTCAGGGTTGATATAATTCAAGTAGCAACTCCAAGTTACAGGTGGAGAGGTTATCTGGGTGGTGGGTTACATGCGGCAGGGTCCTGCGCTGGCTGCAGAGCTGAGGTGCAGTGAAGGCAGTTTGGTGGGATACAGCTGGTTGTGCCAGCACGTACCCAGAAGCACTAACAAGCCCACCCAAACCTGGGATTGTTAGCTGCAGAGGCAGTCTAGGAGTCCCCGTGCTGTGCTTCTGTGCAAAGAGTGCAGAGCAGAGACCCAGCATGGGTCTGTGTGGAGCCCTGTTGTATCTCTGTGTCACATTTTCCAGCACTTGGCATTAACCTCCTGTTTCAGTGTCTGAATCTCCAGGCCCCTGTACGACACAGGCAGAACTTCACTGTAACTTCATGCTGGTTGCTGCACTGAAGGATGTATTTTATTCACGAAGGTCAGTTTAGACAGCTGAGGACACAACTCTCCTATAACTAAGACAACCCTGATCTGCTTTGTCGGGAAGTCATCACGGACAAAGGGAGCAGGTTGTGTGCTGTGAAACCCCTGTTAACATGGGATTTCCTTATTTTTGTGGTTGGATTCAGTATTAGAGGTTTAGGATTCTGTTACTTCTGTGCTAGGACAATTTGTCCTGTATGTAGGTGAGCAGAGAAGTTCATGCTTTCATATTTGGGTCTTGGTGTTTGTCTTCACATCCATCCGTTCGCTGTCTCTCCCAGCCTACACTCTCTTTTTTCAAGCCATGATGAGGAGCCAAGAAACCGGCTATAACTTTGCTGAGTATAGGTTGCACCTGGAGTGGGAAGCACAGATGGACAAGGACCATTTTTGTCTCATGTCCCATAGTCATGTGGCAAAACTTCAATAACCCGATCTCAGGGACAGGCTGTTAATTCAAAAATGAAGTTCCTACTAAAATACTGTGTTAGACCAGGTTCAGTATTCTTATTCTTGAAGTCTAGCACTGCTTCTGCCATTGCAGTGTAGAGGTCAAGTGCCTCCCTGGCATCTGATATGATTTGATGAGCTGATAATGTCTTTTGCTTTCCCCAGATGTTGATTTATCTGACAACAAATTAGGTGTTGAAGGAGCTAAGGCCTTTTCTGCTATGCTTCTAGAAAATACTATAGTTGTGTTCCTCCAGCTCTCAGGAAATGAATTTGACAATCATGCAGCAAAGTATTTAGTGGATGCAATCACAGCAAACAGCAAAGTGGAAATTCTGGATCTGAGTTACAACATGTTTGGTGACAAAGCAGGTAAAGCGCTGTCTGTGCCACTTGCAAAGAGCGGTGCTATGGCAGGTAGCAATGCAGCTTAATGAGTTGCTTGCCTGCTTCAGAACTTCGGGGAGCAGGGTTGCTAATATTTTTAGTTTCCTGAAAAGCATTTTTGGCTTTTTGTAGACAAAACCAAGTGTCAAGCTATCATTATTCATTCATCTTCATTCTCTGCCCTTTCTTACAGCATTGCAAGCTTTACCTCTTCTGTTGCTTTCCTCATTCTTCCTAGTTTCCAAGTTCTGATGGTCTTTCTTTCGCTGAATTATAATTTGCTTTTTTTTCTCGATCATTATTCCAGCTTTCACAGGTGTGTAAAATGCTTAATAAGAGCAGAAAACCCCCAGCAAAATGGAGTTTGCCAACAGCCCTTCTGTCTAGCTCCTTGTCACTGAGAGGTGATTGCAGGTGCCAAGGGGAGGGTGTAAGAGTGGAACAAGCAGATGATAGTGCTTCCCTGACACTCTGCCACCCTTGACAGCTTCTGGTTTGGGGACTTCCTTTGCTAGTGACTTTGGCTTCTTTTCTTGTTGGTCTCAACCTTGTTAATGCATATTGCTCTTCTTTGACTTCTGATTTTTAAGCATGCTCTTATTTAAACATCACATCCTTGTCACTGCTCCCGTGCTGCTGTGTGATGTGATGAAACTCAGTTATTGCTCTCTCGGCCTTAGTTTGTACTGGTTTTACCAGTCTCACTTGTGCTGGCCTGAGCTCCCCCATCCTTTCTTCCTGACTGTCCACTTCTACAGAACACTCCTCATGATGTCATTGCTAGTCCCTGACTTTTCAGCCTTTATGCTCATCTCCTTTTTGCACCTTACTGGCACATGCTTCATCTTCTCCATTTGTGGCTGTTCTTGGGCAACCCCTGCCATGTGTTCTGCTACTATCTCCATGATGAAGATTCACTTAGCTTCTGCCTGCTCATGGTCTCACCCTACAACTGTGCTCCAAATCCCTCTACTTCCAGCACTGTCTTATGGGTACACACTCAAAAAGGGAGACACTGATTTTTTTCTCTTCTGTGCCACATGGCATGCCGTCTGTCAGACCCACATTCTCCCTGGATTGTGTCTTTCATGAAAAATTCACCATCTTTTCTCCATCCCCTGTTTACAACCCTTAATCTCTCCTGCTATAGCCTCCTCCTTGAATATCCATGTCTTCAGTAGGCTTTTCTAGCTCAGAAGAGAGGAAACAACCATAATCCTCGTATCTTCTGGCTACCAGGAACACGCCAGCCATTCACTTTGCTCCTTCCCAGTTCAGTTATGCTCTTGCCCTTGTTTCTGCTTTTGAAGGCTGCAGTGGCTGCTTTTCTCTCCACCTTACATCCTCCTGCTCACCTCCTGCTGCCTTTACAGACAAACAGCTCTTCCCAGTCTTCTGGTCTTCAAGCATAGCAATGGCTTCCTTCTGTGCTGGCTGACAACCTCATTTCTTTCCTGCCTCATTGGAAACTCACAGAACACTTGCTGAGGAAACCTATTCAGATTTTATAATGGCACAGGAGCCCTGGGAAGGCTTAAAGAGAGAGCAGAGCTGGCTTCTGTGCCAGCAGAACAGACCAGCAGGCTTCAGCTGGCTGGGGGCCAGAGCTGGGGAATGGTGAGAGACTGTGGGAAGCTACCTGCCTGCTTGGTGTCAGCTTTCTGACTCGCAGCGGGCTAAAGAATGAGCCTGTGCAGTCAGATCTCCACACATGAGCAGCAGAACCTGGCTTGGTGATACGGTGATCGGGTGATCGGTTTTTCTCTCCCTCTTCGCTACTTTTGCAACCTGTGGTCGGAGAACACATACACTTTGTTGCTTTATTGTCCTGCAGCTTCTGCTTTGTGTTTATGATAAACAATGTATAAAAGAAAATAATCTGTTTTACCTGCCTAGAGGTAATACAGACAGTTGCAGAGAAATACCTAAACTAACTCAAACTTCCTTTTAACTCTTAAACTGTTTGGCTTTGTTTATTTTTTCTTAGGTGAAATTCTTGGGACAGCAATAGCAGAAAACATTGGATTAAAGGAATTTAAAATCAACCGGAACCATTTCCATAGCCAAGGGGCAGCTGCCTTGGCCAAAGGCTTGGCAGTAGGAAATGTTTTCACTCCTGTTTTTAAATTGAGAGAACACACATGAAGCTTTATCTGCTTAAATGAGCAGAAATGCCATGAGTGCTCTTTGACTTGTGCCAACAGCCATCTATAATCTGGGATCATGTAGACCTTGGAACTAAGAGAGTAAAACCCATTGTCCATTGATATATACGTATGTTTGAATTTCTCTATTTCTAGTTCTTTTCCATTTTAGAGTAAAAATGATGATAATGAATGTTTTGAATTGTTTCATTTCACTTCTGATTCATAAACCAATACAGAAATTGTTTTGTAGTCCATACACAGCTTTTACTTTTCTACTAAAAGAAGTCTCTCATTAAAATACCAAACAGTTCTTGAAGCCTCTTAGGCTGAAGGGGGGTCACTAAAGTAATTTGATCTCACCTCTTGTGTAATACAAATCACATGTGCCATCCAAGGACTAGGGCAGCAAGGCCCCAACTGCTTTTTGGACAGTAGAAGGGATGGTAGTGCAAGGCAGGATATTTGTCCAAGGTTGAATCAAGTGACAGGGAGATTTTCAGTTGTGTGTTTATGTCACACCACAGGCAAACATATTCCTCAAAGTGCTGGATGTTTCCTACAATGGCTTTGGCAACAGTGGAGCAGCTGCCTTGGGGGAGGCTCTTAAAGCCAACACTGTGTTGGAGGAGCTCAATGTTAGGTGAGTCAGACTCTGGTCCTGCCCCCATTTTGCAGTGGTGGGCAAAGCCCGCAGCAACCATTTGGATCTGCCTGCAGAGTGCAGGACGTGTGTAAGGCAGGGAGTGTTAAAGAACATTAGTGCTGCTGGTCTTATCCCAAATCCCAATTCCTCTCCTTACACTTGGGGTCACTTCTGAGGGGCTGTGGAATATGTTATGGGATGCAGGGGAAAAGCATCTGGGAAATGCAGAAAGCCTGTTGGGGGATGTTTAGGGGAGGAACCAAGGCTGAGGGTAGGAAACCAGGTGGTGTGGGGAGGAACAAGTATGGGAAAAGAGAGGGACGAGGTGTGAATGTTGAGTGTTTCTGTCTGTGTTGATCTGTGTGGCTGACCATGTGCACATCTCACATATGTTTGTGTCTGTCCCTGTTGGGGATGCGGAGTCAGCCTCACTGCCAGGGCCGTGGAGTCATGTTAGCCTTGTATCTGTCAGCCTGTGGGGTTTAGCAATTCCTCACCACTTCCAGACTTCCAAATATAAGTGTTTAGTTGGAAAGAGCTGCCCTAAATTCTCTCTGGATAGAACAGGTTTTCCGTGCTGGGTGAAGCAGGAGGTTGCATATCCTTTGCCTGAGCAATGTGGATGTGGAAAACCTGCAGCTCAGCATGTGAAGCAATGCCTTATATCTGGTTTTAGCAGCAACCGTATTTTGGTGGAAGGAGCTCTGCACATTGCAGCTGGCCTGAAAGAAAACAAGACTCTGAAAAGACTTAACGTGAGTTACTTCCCTAGGAAGGTACTGGAACCTCTTACACATATTTAAATATCACTGGTGCATGTATGTGCTGGATGGAGCCCCTTAGAACAAACCCACAGCGAAATCCAGGAGCTTGCCCAGCCTGTCTCCTCCCATGCTTCCCTGGCTGCAGTATGCTCTCGTGAAGACAGAGGGCTTGTATCCAGCACTTTCCTTGGTGAACAGAGATTGCTGTGAGCCTGCCATCCTATCTTTGCAGCAGTAGTGTCCAGCTTGGCATGGTGGGTGGCATTGGGATGGCCGCTTGAGAGCCCTTGGCCCACTGTTACTGGCACTTGAAGTAGACTCCGCTGGTATATCACCTGCTGGGGACCACTGGTACTGCCAAAGATCATAAAAAAAACCCCACAACCCAACCTGTCACATGCCCTCCTGTTGTTTATTTTCTGGCTGCAGATGACCAGAAATCCTGTGCAGAGTGAAGGCTGCCATGGGGTTCTCAAAGCTCTACAAGCAAATTCTGGCACTGGCATTGAGATCCTGGACTTGCCAGTAAGTGTTACACCAGCAAGAAAAGGGAAGGGAAGGCAAAGGTTGAATGCATGGCATATGGCTGCTAAAGGGCTGCCAGAGGGATTCTGGCTCTGTCTTCATCACTGCCCAGTGAGGACTGTATATGCGGGGGGTGGCCCCCTACTTGAAAACACGGACACACCTGTGGGTGCCCAGGCCTCACGCTGTGTGTTTGCAGCAGCACCAAGGTGTGTGAATGCACCAATCTGGGCCTTGCTGAGGTGCTGGGCAGCAGCAGGGTATGGAAGAAGCAGGGCTCAGCCCTCCGTGCAAAGGTGCTGGGCACTAAGAGGAATCTGGCTGCCTGTGAATTCAGAAATTCCCTGGGAATCTTGAGCTCTCTGCTCTGACAGTGCAAATAATTTTGGAAGGATTTCTGTCCCATTTCCAATGAAGCTAAATGGTACTTTTATGACCAAGAGCTTCCACTTCAACATCCAGCCCATTTGTGAACAGTGCCAGATCTAAGAAGGCAGCCCTCTGTCATCAGGTATATCTCAGCACAAGGCCTCTCATACACCTTGCCAAAGAGCATCACTTCTGGAACAGAGGCTCTGTTTCAGGCCAGTAGCCACTTAATGCCCTTAGGATCAATTAGATAGCAACTCCTTTTAATTTCTAAAAAGAGAAGTCAGTTATTCAGTTGTTGATTGAGGAGGGATTTGTCTTGCCTAACTCATACCCAATATAGGTGACTATGTCTGAAGTGATGACACAAGATCTGTTAATAGATGGAGGTTTAATCAATGGTATTTAAGGCAAAATTAACACACCAAAGTGCAGAGGTCTGCTTTAGGATGAGGAGATTTGCACCTCAGCTCTGCTGACTGTGTCCCTGGAGACTGCATAGGGAGACCGTAATGATGAGCTCAGAGGAAAGGGTTGCCCTGCAGCAACCAGCAAACCAGCATTTAATCGGGTGGATCTTGTCCTTCACAACCCTTTGCTGTGAACAATCCAGGTGTCTGCCCGACCACCTCATGATCCCTGAAATGTTGAGCCTTCCTCTGTCATTAAGTGCCTGTCCCTTGTACCTCCCCCTCTTCAGCTGTTTCAACCTCTCTTCCTGTAGACCATTCTTCTGAGCTTACTCTCCATCTTGGCATTGTCCTGACATTCTCTCCAGGTGTTTTTGTATTTGTTTGCCTGTTTTCCACCTTTATCCACTTTAGCTCACTGTCTTTTGGCAGTGCAGTGAGGAACTTGCATGAAAACCCGTATCTTCCTGTGATCTCTGTGCTGTCACCTGTATGGTCTCTGTGCTGAGTCACAGTGGTGTTGGCTAACAGCCCTGGATCTCACAACCTTGTGTCAGAATTCTGTGTTTGGGTTAAGAAAGTACAGGATATATCGCAGTATCTGTTTTCTGAGAGAGGGTAAATCATACCATGTGCTTACTTACATGCAGTAATTTTCCCCTCTAGGACATCCCTGTGAACAAAGAGCTTGTAGAGCTGTGTGGTGCTGTGAAAATACTTTTCCCAAATAATCTTCCCAGATATGGTAGAAATGTGAAGTTGCAGAGTCAGTTGAAAGCTGAGCTTCGGACTCAGCCCAAAGTGGTGGGTAATTCTCAGAATTAACATGAGTCTCTCTGGGACTGCTTCTTTGGCACCTCTGCCTAACACCCCACCACCACACACCAAGCCTGTGACCCAAGGACGTGCCAGGGCAGGATCTGTGCAAGTACTGGCTACTTCATCACTGCTGGCACTTGGAAGTTCTGTCTTTTCACTTTAAGATTTCTGCTACAACCAGCTCTGAGTCTCTTCCAGCACATGCAAGAGCAACCTTAAGGATGAGAGTCCAGGGGCTCCTTGTTAATCATCCTCTTTGTTTGTAGGGACATTTGTCTGGTGGAACATCATGTGCTGCAGCTGCTGCTGGTGCTAGGTTCCATCGCCCGCTGCAGTGGGGTCTGTGCAGCCTGAGGGTGTGCTTACTATGTAGGAAGCAAAGTCCTATCTAGAGATGTGCTGTGAACAAATGCTTCCTGCCTTAGGCTCCTTCTGTTACACAGCCGGGGTTGCCTTTGCTGAACTGCCGGTCAGATGCACCGGTGACTCATTTTCAGCTGCTTCCTACCACAGTTCCTTAGATTTACATGGAGCCAGAGTAGAGCCCTGTGCTGGGTCATGACTGGTGTTATTTCCTGGATGCATGCCCTTACTTTTGTCAGTGTTACATAGGATGGATACTACAAGTTGCCTACAAATAGGACAGGCACTCTGTGGTAGTTTAGGAATGACAACAGCACGTGGGCTGTAACTCTTTTCCCCTCCCTGGGATGTTTTCTGTGATCCTGGTATTATCCAGTGGATCCTCCTCTGGAACCCCCTGGATACTGGGATTCAGGGAGGGGAGGAATTGTGAGCTTCTTGAGGAGCATTGGGCAGGAATCTTGTCTGTGCTCTAAGCAGCCTGGCTTAACTCTTCCTCTCCTGGTCTCTGTAAAGAAGTGGTTTCTCACAGTGTGGGAGAGGGGCTGAGGTTGGTCACCAAGGGGCTCTGGCTGCCTGGTTTGGGCTGGAGGTGCCGGCAGCTCGACCCCACAATCAGGGCAGCAAACCCCAGCGGTGTTGCAGTGCTGCCTTAACCGAGTTGTGGCCATACACAAATAACTGCCTTTCATTCCCTGGAGGTTGGCAGGGTTTGTAAAGCACGTGCCACACCCTTGGCTTTATCTGTGGCTCCAGCTAGGTGAGCCTGGCCTGTGCCCTGGCATGGTGGCGTGCACTGGCTTTACTTCCCTCTGTCACTGACACACCAGGTGACGAGGTCTGGGGACAGCCAGGCAGTGCTCTCCTGTAAGGCAGTGGTGACACCCCTCTGAGAAGGCAGCTTGCAAAGGCAGGGGCCAAAATTCAAGACAGCTTCTGCCAGTCTCCTTCCAGAGTAGCTGGCTGGTGCCCTGTGTTTTGCCTTATGCTTTTTCCCTAGAACAGAAGCATTATAAGCCCCTTGCTCACCTTTGTATTTTGTTTACCTAATAAGTGTGCTACCAGTGAAATTGCACTTAATGTTAGTTCTTAGAAGAAGATGAGTTTTTGCCTCTTTATTTGAAAATAACTCTATGCAGTTATGATTTACACAATGGAGTTTGTCCTATAAATGTTCAAATTATTTTACAGTCATGTATCTAATAAATAATGTCTGAGCCTTGGAGTCACACATGTCTGTTCACACCATTTGGAGAGGCCTCTTGCGTGCTGTAAGGTCTGTCAATCTGGGTTGTTTCTAGAAATTTCAGAACCATCCTGACTCCCCCTTGATCTCTAGGTGAAAAATTTGTGTATCGAACACAGAAGCTGTTATGGGGCTTGATTTAAATCAGTATAAGTACTTATATTTTTAAAAATTTAGTCACCATTTATTGTTTCTGTTATGTCTTTTGCCCCTAGCCCTTACCATGCTCTCCAAAGAAGTGATGCAAATTAAAATTGTATTAAAAAATAAGGTGGGTAAAAAATTCTTACACACCAAGTCCATCCTTATTCACCAGCTGTTGTAACTAGAGAAGGTCCACTTGCCCCTGCCTTGACACATATCCAATCATTAGTCCCTGGAGTCAGAGCTGGGTGGTTTTAAGCTCAATAAACCTACCAATACACCATTTGGGAATACCCAGTGAGCCAGCAGTGGTTTATGGGGTGCTGTAACTGGGGTACATATGTTGAATGTTCAGTTCTCCTGCGGGTTTGATGAGAGCAGGAGGTGGCTGTGGAAAACTAAGCACTTGCCCAGTCCGTGAGTAGTCAGGATTGAACAGGCAGGATTTGCCCTTCTGGAGGGCTGCAGGGAGAAGGGGAAACAGGCTGCTAGAGCTGGCCTGCGGGAGGTTTTGTGTGTGAAGCTGTAGGGATTTGCTGTGCTTTGGCAGCTGCTACAAAAGGTTATGAGGAATTAACACGTGGAAAGTTACACTGAGAGCTGTATTTCTCTTATACTGAAGTACCAGTTATTCCCAATTTACCTGGTGATCTCCCTGGCTGGTATCATTATTCATCTTTCCTCCACACTCAGCCGTGTTCTCTTTCAGCCTGGGAATTAATCATGGAATAACTCACCAGAAGATTTGTTGAGACCCTGTTCACGATGTCATTTCAAGTACTGAGCCATTTTTTGTGTGTCTGAGTGTTATTTCAGTATTTTTCCTTTCTGTTTTCTTTACAAAGCTGCCAGGTAGATGCCTTGTGGAAGGGACTATAAGTGCAGCAGCACTGCTGCCTCTTTCCAAGCTCCTGTCCCCAGTAAAGCACAGAGGTTACACAGATCATATTAATTGGCACTAATGGTATTTTTTCCTTAATTCTTGGCAGCTTTCATTTTGATCAGTGTCCTTTTGAGGCCTTGAATTTCCTCGCACCCCTTCACCTTTTTGAAACATCAGCCAGCTTGTGCTCTGGGACTTCTCCAGCTGCCTGTAAGCTATAGAGGTGATCACAAAAGTTTTAGCTACAGCAGCTACTAATAAGCATCATTTGGAGACAGGGCTGGGGCAGAGGACTCTGCGATATGACTCTTAGCTTCTCCCCCAGTGCAGGAGAGAGGTTTTTCATTAACACTTTGATCTCCTTTGCAATACTGAGTGTGCTGCCATGCACAAAAGTGCCCTGGCTCTTGTCCCAGCAAGGATTGGGGTCCACAGTGTTTGGTGCTGCCCTGAAGTGCTTCCAGTCTAGTGAGGGAAGCCCAGGCAGGTGGGATCATGAGAAACCAGCTGTCTGTGCTCCAGAGGAGGAGCAGCTCACTGCAGCCCACTCCTGACAGCATCCGATGGACATTTCATAACCTCTGAGGCAAAGCTGTCATTACCGTGAGGAAGTTTTTCTAGTCTCTTACCTAAATCTCCCTCATGGCAGTTTAAGTCCGTTTCTTCTTGCCTTGTCTCCTGTGCACGTGGTGAAGATTTATTCTCCTTTTGTGGCTGCGTGGTTGGAGACTGGGCCGTCTGCTGTCGGGAAGGAGCCTCTGCTGCTGGGATGCGACTGCATCATTCATGCCTACGCTCGTACAATTCGTTAGAAAACATCTGCGCTGCGTGGTGAGACCGGGAGGAGCTGCGGCCCCAAGGCAGCCTGGCTGCAGGGACTGCCGAGACAGAACACAACCGCCCCTGGGAATGCTCTGGGTACCCTGTGCTCAGCCACCGGCTGCGGGCCCGGCCGCGGGGGGACGAGGGGACAACAGCACCCAGGGTTTGTGCCATCTTTTCTTGCCCTGCAGGCGGCAGAAGGCGCAGATACGAGCAGATATGTCGAGGCTGGAGCTGGGTGCTTACCTCATCCTCTGGCTGTATCTGCAGGGGGAGGACCGCGGGGGATAACGAGAGGATTACTTACCGCCAGCCTTAAACGGGCCCTGCAGCTTGGCTGTGCTGCTTTCCGAGCTGGGGTGGGGGGAGGGATAATTTAGAAACACAAGGCTGGGAAATTATTTAATCAGGACACTGAGCTGCCCTCTCCTGAGCATCAGCTCACCGCCCGCTTCCAGTGCCCCGGGCTCCCCTTTTCCTCCTCCAGCACGGACAAGGGCTCAGGTATGCAAGTGGGTCAGCGCCTGATTATTTCAGCGTTTTCTGTGATTAAACTGTCTCTGAAACAGTTTGGGATGTTCCTGCAGCTCCCACCCCCCCGCGATCCCTGCAGGAGCTCCCACAGATCGCGGGGCCGTGTGGATGACAGCAGTGATCCTGCATCCCCAAGGCTCCTCCTCTGCCAGCCCTGAGCCCTGCCTGCCCACTCCCATGCTGTCCGGGGGGATTATCACCCCCAGATCACAGTAACCCTCTTAGCCCAGCCTGGGAGCACGTGTGCTGGGGCTGCTCCTGCCCCATGGCCCTAAACCCTGCCAGGTTCCCGGAGCCCAGCACCAGCCGTTACACCACTGACCTACATACTTCCCTGAGGCACTGTAATTAGATTTCCATGCAGTCCAGCTAGGCTGATTAGATCACTTCCGTGAGCCCCAGAAAATATGAATTTTGCTTTTTTAAGCTAATTTGGATAAAGATACTCCTGTGGAAAACCAGTGTAAACCAGTGAGTGCCTGTCTCCCCACGCTCCATGAAACAGGGTTCTGTGAGCTGTATACAGGGTGGTTTGTGTATCAGTCTGGCTGGATCACACACACAGGGGTACAGATAGGTGAAATTATGTTTTTTTCTCCCTACAATTACGGGCTGCCATCTTAAAGCACTGATGATGCTGTTTAATTTGGTTGTTTTTTTAATCTTTTTTTTTCCTGCTGACACAGTTTTCAAGAACAGATCATTGTAGGAGGGCTCCCTTGGTGGCAGTGGCTGCTGACAACCCCCTTGTTTTGTGTGTGCATTAATGGGCAGGCAATTTAAAATCGATTAATACATGTTCTGTGTCTGTGCAGGGCATGTTAACTGCAATAGGATGGTGTATGACATGGGTGAACCGACCAATTCTGTAGTCCTATTTTAAAAAAACCCACAAGTGTGCTCAAGAGGGGACACTTGCCTCCCAGGCTGACATTAATTATGTTTCAAGCTTTTAATTCCCTGCCAGCCATATCCCCGTCACTCCCTGCCTCTCCCCGGCTGTGCTGGGGGGTACCCCATATCCATGCTTGCTTTTTTATGGCACAGCCTTACAGTAACTTGTCTGCATTTTTACAAATGAACATTTTAAAATAGATTAAGTATCGATGGTTATGAGGCTCATTCAACAGCTCTTCACTAGTTTAAAAGGTTGACCGAGAGCCCACACTGGGTGAGCTCGGCCCTGGCCACAGCTGAGAGTATTTTGTGATGTGACTTCTATTGAATTTCCTCCTAAAGAGAACATAAAAGTGTTTTGAACCTCAGCCTGTCCTGCTCTGTTAGGACTTCTACTGCTCTTCCCCAGCCTTGTGCTGGACTCCCTTGCTCCTGATACATCACTACAGTTCTTTCTATTCTCCTTTATCCTGCTGACAGTGGATTTACAGCAGAGATTAAAAGCCAACAATTGATAAGGAGAGTTAAGTCTATCTGCCTCCCTGGATACATGTTGAATATTTTTTTAATAAAGAATGAGTTTGTTATTATGGAAGGAAGCTTCCCTAGTGAGCAACAACAATGGGGACGGGGGTATCTATGGATTATCTCACACTTTTAACTCCCATTATTTGCGCTGGTTCCCAAGTTCTACTGTCCATTCAGCTCTTACCCCTCTTGGCAGCTTTAGAAAACCTGCCCCGGTGCCGTTCAACATCGTCCTCACTGTTGACAAAGGGGCTTGAACCTTTGTGTATTTGTAAATACACAATTTGTAAACCTCAAGCTCCAGGCTACCTTTGCCAGGCTGCCCCAGCTCCTCGGGGGTCCAAGTGTCCATGAGTCCTGCCAGAGCCCACCCTGGTGAATAAAGCACCCGTGTCAGCAGAGTCGCTGCTCCCGGTGGGCCCAGCCAGGTGTTGTGCATCTCATGTGTGCCAGCCCAGCTCCAGAAGCACCTGCCAGTGGCTGGGAACTGGGCTCCCGACACGGTGACCTGCTGAGCCCAGCCCCTGCCCTGTGGTGCCCAAGAGCAGGGTCTGCATGCCCTGGGCACAGCCCCGTGCTGCCCTGGCACGGCTCAGGAGGGACGTGGCTGCAGGGTGGCAGAGGGTAGCACCACCCTCCCTTTCCCTGAACTCTGGGGGCCCTTCCTGAGCATCAGCTGGGGGAGCAGCTTCCCCACGCGGCCTCTTGGCGGGGGACAGACAGCACAAACAACCAGAGCCATCGCAGAACCAGTATTTATGAGGGTGACCGAGTCAGCCCATTGCTCACAAGCCACTACACAGAGGTGCCAAGCAGGGCCATAGCACGGCGGGGACACGCTGCTCCGTGGGCAGCAGTGGCAGTGTGGGGGCGAGGCGGGACGCGGAGCAGTGCTGGCAGGCAGAGGGGCTCCCCAGGGAGTGGGGTGTTGTACAGAGACCCGCCCGTGGCCCCTCTAGGCCCCCCCCAGGGACTGGCCAGTGAGAAGCAATGGGACCAGCTTGCCCGTGGTCCCCAGCTCCTCGCAGGATGCAGAGGACGTTGCACATCCAGCACAGCTGCAGGGAGCAGAGTGTCCATGCTGCAAGGCCTGGCAGTTTGGCAAGCTCGTGCTTGACTGTTTCCTCCACCTATTTCTTCCAAAATGTGCTAAACCCCTCCCCTTCCCTTCCACTCCAGGCTGCCCATGAGCAAACCATCCAGGGGTGGCTGCAGCAGTGCTGCTGAGGTCTCCCCTCAACAGGACTACAGCAGCCAGGGTGAGTCCCAGAGCACGGGGGTGCTCGCCGGGGAGAGGGCAATACTGAAAAGCACCCACAGGGCCCTTCATGAGCCACAGAGAGCCTGGAGGGGCCATCACAGGAGGCTGAGCCCCCTATGCCGGGGTGGGTGACAGTGCAGGCTGTGCTGCAGGGGCATAGGGGGAGGGGGGAGCTGGCTCCAGGCAGACCAGCCCAGGGCTGTTGCTGGGGACCTCTGGGGACAAGGCAATAAATCTGGGGTCCTATATGCCCACACCCAGCTCAGGGCTGAGGCAAGAGCCTGGCCCTAGTGTGACCTTAAAGCAGAGCTTCCAGCCGGGCACAGCCCCCAGCTCAGCCTGAAACAGCCGACACCAGCGCCTGGGAAGATGCAGTTTGGCTTCTGCCATGCCAGGCTGTCCTGGGGTCTCTGCCTAGCTGCTCATACTCCATCTTATGTCCCCAGCTGCTCCTCGGTCCCCTCAGCCCCAGCCTGAGCAGCCCTGGGGATGAGGATGGCAGGGATGACGGCAGGGAAGTGTGTTTGGCTCCTGCCTCCGCAGGAGGACTGCACATGGCTGCAGTAAGAGCCCACACTGCAGCCAGGATGAGACCCAGGATGGGCAGTGCTGGCCTGCCTGTCCTGGCCCCGGGGACTCGCTGCATCCCTCTGCATCCCTGGTTACGCCAACGGGCCAGTGGGAAGAGATGCTGACAGCACCTGGGTGTGCTTGGGGGAAAGGGGGGAGTACGCGGCTCCTCATGAGCAGGGCAGGCACTGGGCTGAGGGGGCTGGGACCCAGTTCCTGAGGGATGGGGATGGGGAGGAGGGAGGGAGCCAGCCCGCCCCCTGCTCTGTGGGGAGTGAGTGGGGAAGGGCAAGCATCCTCGTCATCTCCATCATCTCCAGATGGAGCCACATGCCCAGGGCAGTGCCAGTGGCTCTGGTGTCGAAGGGACCAGCAGAAAGAGGAGGGGGGGGGTCTCTGGCCTCACCGCGGGGAGGGGTTCAGATGCTCCCGTAGCCAGGTGCTCCCATTCCCGAGGCTGTCATCTCTTGCAGTCGTCGGTGTCGGTGTCCGGCAGCCCAGCGGCGGGCTGGGAGCTGGGCTGGACTGCCTGCACCCTCTCCTCCAGGCTGCCGCTGGGGAACACCACGTAGCGGGCGCTGACGCGCTGCGGCCTGGGCTCCCGCAGGTTCTCCTTGCTGTGCCAGATCCCGTAACCGAAGTACACCAGCAGGCCTGCAGCGGGGGACAGGGACAGCAGCGGCTTGAGCACAGGCCAGCAGCTGGCAGGGAGGAGGCCGGCACCCCAGAGCCACGGCACGGGGTGAGGGAGCTTAAACCTGCTGCTTGCAGGAGGAAAAGGTTCCTGCAGCCGATTAAGAGCAAGAGGGGCACCCCCAGTCCCCGGGGAGGTGAAAGCCCCTCACTGGGAAGGACTTCCTGAGTGCCTCAGGAGCAGGGGGGTTTCTGATCCAGAGCTTGAAGGAGGATCCAATCCGTAACACTCCAGGAACCAGAAAGGGTCAGGGAGATGCTGGGAGACCTCAGCTTATATCTCCAAAGGGGAACCAGGGGCAGAAAGGGGCACAATGTGCTTTATAAACCCATTGCTGGGGGAGAAGAGCTGCTGAAGCAGCCGGCCAGTGCTGGGACAGGCCCAGTTCCCCTCTGCCCCGAGGGAAGCTGCCACGGGAGCACTCACCTAAGAACAGCCAGATGGCAAAGCGGAGCCACGTCATGTAGCTGAGCTTCAGCATCAGATAGATATTGAGGATGATGCTCAATGCTGGGGAGAGGGGCACCAGGGGGATCTGCAGGAGAAAAGAAGCCCAGGGATGGGGTGAGACTTGCAGCACCTCATTCCCCATCCTTAAAACCACAGAAGCAAAAGCCAGCATTGGTAAATGTGGGGGATAAAGTGACTGTCCCCTTGGGCTTTCGGAAAATGATTTTTTTTTTTTTCCAGGAAAACGGCAACCAAAAGGAACAGCAGACAGTTAGGGAGCCAGGAGATGGGAGCCAGGCTGGCAGGGTGGGCATGGGCTCTGGAGACAGCCCATGGGCATCGTTATAAGGACCAAACAGGCTCCTGGCACAATCCAGAGCCAGCGTGGTCCTCACTGGAGAAGCTGGGGCAGGGACAGGGCAGCGAGGTGGTGTTACTGTCCACATGGCTGCACCACGCTGGGCTCCAGACAGGCTGGAAACTGTAGAGGGGGAAGCACAAGTGCACAAAAGTGGTTTGGAGGCTGAAGAAAAGAGCTCCACTGTGTAGCTCCAGGGCAGGCCAAAGGCAGGAGGAGCTGGGATGGGCAGGAGGGGAGTGGGGGGTTGCGGGGATGCAAAGGAGGGAACCCAGGCGGACAGGAGTGATCCTGTAAGATGGACACAGAGCTGCTGGGGATGTCCCCTCCTGGGGACCAGTGACCACACAGAGTGACACCCCAGGAATCAACATCTCCCCACACCCAGTGCTCGCTGATACCTTCCGCCCTCCTTCAGCACTTTCACCAGCTCCGTGTGACTGGGGCCTCCCATGGGTCCACCAGAGCCGCTGCCACCCCACCCACCCCGGCAGAGGGACCAACCCTGACAGGGCCCCTGTGCGTACCTGAAAGGTCTGTGTGCCATGCTGCTGCTCGTGCGCCCAGATGAGGAGGAGGCTGAGCAGGAAGCCCAGGCTGAAGAGGACCAGCAGCAGGGAGTAGCTCCAGGTGGGCAGGTGGAGATGGGTGTTGCCGAACACCAAGATGGAGCAGAGGCAGATGGCAGACACCATCAGGGTCACCACAGCCACCGTGACCACCTCACCCGGGTAGAAGTCGCTGAGGAACTCCAAGTAGGGTTCAAAAGCTGCCTTTAGCTGCCCTGGCTCCCGGTGCTCCTTGCTCTTGTCCCTGTCCACCAGCTGGAGCTTGTCGGAGAAAGACTCATACTCCTTCAGCTCGCTGGCAGAGGGACCCTCGTGGGACTCAGAGCTGGGCCGGCCACCAGCTGCTGGTGCGGGGACATCCACCTTCTGCTGCTGGAAGCGCAGGACGATGATGCTAGCGGCCACGAAGGTGTAGGCCAGCAGCGTGCCGATGGACAGGAACTGCACCAGGGCTTCCAGGTCGAAGACAAGGGCCAGCAGGGCCATGAGCAGCCCAAAGACCACGATGCCAATGACGGGCACCTGCGTGCGGGGATGCACTCGGGAGAAGACCTGAAAGAAGAGCCCATCCTCGGCCATGGCGTAGACGATGCGCGGCAGGGAGAAGAGGTTGCTCAGCAGGACTGTGTTCATTGCTGAAGGACAGGCAGAAGGAGGAGGACCACGTCAGACCCAAACCGCCCTGGTTCCCAGCCCCTACCATGAGCGGAGTGGGCAGCTCCCACCACCACTGCCTGTACTCACCGCAGATGGAGCCAGCAGCCACCAGGAAGCCTGCCCAGGCGTAGCCCCTCCTGTAAAACGCATCCGACAAGGCAGAGTCGGGGTCCAGTGTGTGCCAGGGCACCATCAGCGTCAGCACCACTGACACCAGGATGTAGGCCCCAGTGGCCAGCCCCAATGAGAAAGCGATGGCCCTGGGGACAGCCCTCTGTGGGTTCCTGGCCTCTTCACTGGAGGCTGCAATGACATCAAAGCCTACAAAGGCATAGAAGCAGGTGGCCGTGCCAGCCATGATGCCCGACAGCCCATATGGGGCAAAGCCGCCCTCTTGGGTACTCCAGTTCTTGGGCTGCGCAAGGATGAAGCCCATGATGAGGATGAAGAGGATGACACCCATGCTGATGGCTGAGAAGACGTGGTTGAGCCAGGAGGACACTTTGGCCCCAAAGGAGATGAAGGCAGTGGCTACCAGCAGGATGGCAGCTGCCAAGAAATCAGGGTAGCGGGCCAGGAACGGCACCTGCCAGGTGCCCACATGGGTCTCGGTGAAGTTCTTTATCTTGTGGTTGAAAATAGAATCCAGGTAGCCACTCCAGGCCCTGGCCACCGCGGCTCCCCCAATCATGTACTCCAGCAGCACGTTCCAGCCGATGAGAAAGGCCCAGATCTCACCCACAGACACGTAGGTGAACATGTAGGCAGAGCCCGTCTTGGGTACCCGGGCACCAAACTCGGCGTAGCAGAGAGCAGCCAGGAGCGAAGCAAAGCCAGCGATGATAAAGGAGACTATGACGGCGGGGCCAGCGATCTCTTTGGCCACGGTGCCTGTGAGGACGTACAGCCCAGAGCCCACCATGCCCCCAATGCCCAGCAGCGTCAAGTCGATGGTGGAAAGGCATCTGTTGAAGGATGTCTCCATCATGTCATCCTCCAAGGTCTTCACCCTGTTGAGTTTCTGGCAGAAGCGGGTCAGGTCAGCCGAACGAGGCAGCCATCTCGCCATCCTGGAGGCAGCAGGCCCTTCCCTGGGGCAGGGTGAGGGGTCCACAGCAACGAGATCCTGCCTGACGACCTGCCAGAGGAGCAGAAAGGTGTGAGCATCCCCTCCTGCAGGCAGGTATCGGGTGGTGGGACAGGGCAGAAGAGCCACTGGGGCGCATTCAGGGTGTCCCTTGCTCCTCAGCCAGCGCGGGGCTCAGCACCGGAGCGTGTCCTCCTCCGGGGTGGTGGCACAGGACAACCAGCCCCCCCCCCTCCCCCCGCCGGGCAGGGACCTGGGCTTGTGTGCCAGGTGAGAGGGAAACCACAGCACCCCCGGGGCAGCATCTCCCAGGCTTTTCTTTTTAAAATGGAGCTGCATTAAAGCCCAAACCTGGCTGCTCTGGCCCTGCTGAAGGTTTCTTTGCTGCTTCCCCTCCACCTTATTCAGCATCTACCTGAGCTTCCTGGTGTGTCAGGAGCCCGCTGAGGGGACACACAGCATCTCCCTGCCCCCAGCATCTCGCTGCTTCCCCAGGGAAAGCCCAGGTTTCTCAGGTGTGGCCCATGGAGACGTGCAGCAGCGAGTCCCGAGCAGCTCCAGCAAGGACATGGGAGGCCCCAACCAAAGCGGGAAACACTCCAGCACCCAGGGACCAGCCCCAGACAGCGGCTGCCACCGGGAGAGCGGGAGGTCGCAGCTCTGCGGCCTCTCAGGTGCCGTTTCAGGGCTGCGCCAGGGCTGTCTGTGGTTTTGGGGATGCTCTCCCAGCCACGCTCCTCCCCGTGCCAGGACACATGTCTCCCTGCACCCCCAAACCGTGGGTCATGCTCAGAGGGCTGGTGCCTCTCGGTGCAGCCCCACTCCCTGGGTCCACCTGCCTCCGGGGCCAAAGGGTCCTGGAAAGGCCACCACGAGCCGGTGGCATGACGCTGGTCCCTGGGGACAACAGGCCTGCTGGCACCGACCGTGCTGGCTGATCCCTCGGCCCCGCTTGCCGCCTGCATCTGGGTCCCCGAGGAGGGGCTGGCAGCAGTGGGGTGCCCGACCCCAACGCATCCAACAGCCGCAGCCGGGCGGAACATCCCGCCCAGGCTGGGGGGGTGGCTCTGGGTGGGGACCCCCCTGCTGGGGTGTGGGGGGCTTCAGCCTCCGGCTTCACCCCTAGGCGGGGAGAGGGGAAGGCTTCGCCCCTGCTCAGCCC